TAATTATTGATTAATATTAGAAACTTATTGAATTACAATATAAGATGAGTTAAATTTCATTTTAAATTAAATGACAATTGATTTAATTGATCTGATCAAGTGATTTGACTTATAAATTTATTTTTTAATTAAAATAATGTTATTTTTATATTTTTTAAAACAAATTTAAAATAATATCATTTTAAATTAATTTTATTAATTCAAGTTTATCTACCAAGTTGATAAATATAACCTTTATGTTTAATGTCAAAAGATGAATATATAAAATATTAAATATAAATGGTAAATACAGGTCTGATAGAGGCTATTCAAACCCTTATGATTATATTAATTTAGTTTTAAAATGGATTAAAAGAGGTGTAATTTTTAAGTTGTGGTAGATTGGTAGTGGTGTTATGAAAAGATAGGGTGATATCCTACTTAATAAATATTATATTTTTTTATTTGTGCTAAGTTGTAATGTGGATTATGTTTTAAAAAATATTTAAATAATTATAATTTGAGTGAATACGAATTAACTTGGTTACTTGCTATCTAGGATAACCCTAAGGAAAAAAAAGTTTAAAGTTAAGTAATCTAATATAAAATGATGAAATTGAAAAAAATAAAAATTAAATTAAGTTAATCTTTGAAACCAACAACTCTAGTTATAAGATCAAGATGACCATATAAAAGACTAAAAATAAATATTGAATAAAATTCTTAATAATAAAAATACTAAAATGAAAAAAAAATAGTAATCAAAACAATATGAACTGAATCTGATATGAAAACTAATGAAAAAATAATGAGGAATTTAATAAAAAAATAGAATAAAAAAGGAGCCAAAATTGGATAAAAAAACAAATAAAATAAAATGTTTAGAGAAAAAATTGAAAGATAAAACAAATTAAGAAAATGATAAAAAAAAGAGCAATTAAAAAAATGAGTAAATCTAGAAATAAAATAAAATGTTGAGAAGAAAAATTGAAAGAAAAAACAAGAAAATGATAAAAAAGCAACAATCAAGAGAATAAGTATTATTTAATATAAAAAAAAACAAATTTAAATGCCAATCAATGAAACTAAAAAACATTAATCTAAAAAAAATACCAATAAGAAAAGGATTATAATTGAGTTTTTTCTCCATTATATTTTTTATAAAATAATATTATATTTAGTTTTTAGCTAAATAAAAAATCAAACAACTAGCTAGGAAAAAATCATGTCAACACCCATTGATTTTTTTGTCATTATTTTTTTTTATCAAGATAATATCATTTTTACTTTCTATATAATAAAACATTCAATAAACCCCACTAATCTTGGTTATTTTATCTAACTCGTGACTTAGGACATGATGAGAGTCGACTTTTAAACTAGATTTTAAAAGCTTAATAAAAAAAATAAACATTAAATATAATATAAAAATTTAACAACAATATATAATAAGGGATGAAATTGCAAAAAAAAACATTAATCAAGAAGAGAACTCAAAATAAAATAAATTATAATAATAAGAATGAAGATCAAATTCAATAAAAAAAAAACTAAAATCAAGTGATTAAGAATTAAATAAAAAATCCAACAAAAAATATCAAAAAAATAAATAAAAATATAAAGAATGAGGATAAAATTTTATTTAAAAAATATTAAAAATCAAATATTAAAAAATAAATTTAATAAATAAATAAATTTAATATAATATAATTAAATGATTGATGAGTACTTTGTAAGTCCAACATATATTTTGACAAAAAAAAAAGATAAAATAGTATTATCGAAACCTCTCCGTTCTATGCCGCCAACACACATTGGTTCACTGTATATAGAGTGATGAGATGTTTTGGACGCCATTGAAGAAGGTAATCAACGGCAATTGAAAAACACCACACGTGTAGCCTAGTGCCTCCTTTTTATTTTTTTAAACTATGAAAAGATCAAAACAACATTAACTGGAAGACAATTGCAAGAAAACCAAGGTTAAAAAAATCTAAAATGTCGCTTGAACTTGGATAAAAAAAAAAAAGTTGACCTCAGTAATTATACTGTACAAAAATGTAAAAATTTGAAAATATCCCTTAAGCATTACCTATGCTGTTTTTTTTCAAGGGTATAATAGTAATTATACCATGCAATAAATATGTTAAAATACAATTCTATCCCTAAATATGTGTTCATTTTTTTATTTATTAAAGGGCTCTTTTACTATTGGTCGTAATATGTGCTAGTAAATTTTAGTTTTATTTATAATTCTAATAATATATATATATATATAAGTAAATAGGCCAAGGGTCTCAAGCCAAGTCCACAGATAGATAGTAGTTAAATATATGTATTTTCGGTGACCTTCATAGTTAGCTCTAATAATTCTTAGTTTGTAATGCCTGTTTTAAGCAAATTAGGCTCATCGCCACCCAAACGACACTGGGTCAAGCTCTTACCCTCGATCCGGTTGCATCAAAGATATAATTATCAGAGCTAACTTTAGGTTTTTTGGCGCATCAAATTAGTTTCTCATTTATGTTTTTTTTTTTTAATATTTTCAATTAAAAATATATTTACATAATATTTTTCATATATTTCAAAATTATAACTTAAAAAAAAAATCAATTTAATGAGTTGTTTTAATAAAAAAAACTATTTGAAAAGCAATTTAAAAAAACAAGTTATAATATAAAAACAAATACTCATAATTAAATTAGGTGGTTATTGGATATACTCTTAAAATATATGTTTTTTTTTTTAATAATTTTGATTAACAGTACTTAAGTTTATCTGAAATTATTTTTTATTATTGAGAAAAAAATATACTTTTTTTTTTTTAAATAAGAACTTGAGTTTTGAATAATTTTTTTTATTCCTTATCAGTATATGAAAACTTTAGACAAGCAATATATATATATATTCTTCTTTTCTTTTTTTACGAGAAAGACAAGCAATGTCTTGATAATATAGGATTTGGGTTTTAATTAAATCCTTCAAGGTTCATCACAGAGTCATTTCTTCCTCTGTCTCAACAGTCCAAACTCCAAAGATAGTCTCCAAGGTTGAATGGTTAAAAGCCCCCAATAGCTACAAAAGCCCTTCAAGGAATCAGTTTCATTGACCTCCGCAAGAGGCCCAAAATAGCCCTTATCTGAGCCCAGAAAACAAAGACTTAGAATCTTATTTCTAAGAAGTGGCATAAGATTAAGATTAAATAAGTTAATCCACGGCCTGACTGAAAACCCAAATAAGATTGTTTTTAAAGTTATATTTTAAAAAAAATTAAATTTAAAATAAAACCCAATAAAAAGAAAATGCTTTAAATCAATATGTAATTAGATTGTCCTACCAAACCAAATTACGTTTTATATCATTGCTTGGAACTAGAGGTTGAGTCATACTTTGACAAAACTAGAAAAGGGAAAAAGCACAGAGGAGTGCCTTAAGTTGCATCCTAGTAGATGGGTCATTACGTTTCTTGAAAAGCTTGAAGAACACTTGTGCTTTTATTCAAGTCGTTAGGGATGGGAGCCGAAGCCTGCACAAAAGGTGAGCCTTGAGCATGCCAGGAAAACCCTAAAACTATGAGACATCAATGTAAAATATTAGAAACATGCATTTTGTTACTTGAGATGCCGAAAAAGGCATTGTTGCTTGCCTTCTTCATACACTTTCTGATAAGGCGTATGGAGATGTCCTATATTCAAGAAACGTGATAATCACCTAGCTTTGTTTCTTGATTTTAGATTTCCTTGCACAACATTCCGAGTCATTTGGTGGCGTGCATGGAAGGATATTTTTTAAAAGCTTGAATTTTTCATTTAAAATTATTATTTATTATTTTTTGAATTGTTTTTATATGCTAATGTTAAAAATAATTTTTAAAAATTAAAAAAAATATTATTTTAAGTATTTTAAAAAACAATTGTTATTTTATTTTTAAACATTCTCTATAATTATGATCAATAGCAGAAAGCTACATAGAAGCAAAAGGGGCAATTACCCCTTTAATTTTTTTTGATTGTTTTGAATAATAAACATTGATTTGATTGTTTTGAATTAATTAAAGGTTATATTATTTTTAATTGAATTGGTTATGGTATGGAACTAAACTTTTCCACAAGATGAATAAACAAATATTTTAATTATTGTCAATTAGTAAAGATTGATATTTGTATAATTAAAATTTTTTTAAATTGAGATTGATCTTTTTTATAATATTAATTTTTTTGTACCTTTCTATAAAATAAGCAGGACAAATTATTGAATAATTTTTATTTTATTGGTTTTTTTATTTTTTTTGTTTTCATCAGACAAAATTTAGTTAAGTTATATAATTATGTAACTCAATTAAATTTTGTTATTATAAAAATTTAAAGAGAACAATTATAATATAAATTTTTTATTTTAAAAATATTTTTAAATTAAGTTTGCTTAATATGAGATAGTATATTTGTTTTGAATTGGTTTTTAATGTATATCTATATAATATAATAATATAGTATATATTAATAATTTTTTCTCTTATTTAAATTTTTTTGACTCTGCAACTGATTATAATTATAATTATTTTGATACAATTTTGAGAAAAAAATATTTTGAAAAACCAATTGAAAACGCTTATAATGCTCTTTGTAAAACCAATTCCCAAAACCATTGTAAGCACACGGTTTACTTGCGCATTATTTAATTTGAGTGACAATTTTAGGTGATGGTAGCGATGATTGGTTTCTACAGGTTATGAATTCATGCATAAGAGTAGCTCCCCCGTGACACACATTTCCACAAAAATGGTCGATCCTTCGGTAGCCCATGTTAAATTACTTTCTGAATTTATTTATTTTGGTTTTAATTATTTGGGTTATCTTGAATATGTTTTCATACAAATGAAAAATGAAATCCCTTAAAAAAAAAAAAAAATTTTGTAACTTTGTTTTTGAATTTGAATACTTTTTTTTTTTTTGTAACTTTGTTTTTGAATTTGAATACAAGATAATCACCTAAAAAAATTAGTTAACACCCCACGTTCACAGGAAGTGTACGGTGGTTCCAGACTCCCACTACTTTGTCAAAGGAGTACAGCAGAAGAAGAAGCAAGCACACATCAACCATCACATATATATTATGACTATGAGTCCTCTTCAAGAAGGCAATCATCCGAACCAAATACACTGTAACTAACAGCATTAGTCACCACCGTAAACGGAGGCGCCGGAAATGCCTAGCCTTCATTATTATCTTTTGTTTTTTTCGACCAAAACTCTCCCTCCCTGACTAGTTAATTTCAGCTTCTCTTTCAAGTGAATGTACGTACCCTTTATGTTTCTTCTTCACTTTTGGTACCCATCCTATTACAAAAATCTTGCTTGAATGGTTAGGAAAGTATAGGAGGAGGAAGTTAATTAGCCAGAGGTGTTTGATTTTGACTTTGAGAGAAAGAGAGAGATGGGTGTGTTAAAGAGAGCGCTGGTTTTTGGAGTGGTGATAACGATGGTTATGGTGATGAGAGTGGCTTCACATGATTATGGGGATGCATTGACTAAAAGCATTTTGTTCTTTGAAGGGCAGAGGTCAGGGAAGTTACCTTCTACACAGAGAATGACTTGGAGGAAGGATTCTGGTCTTCAAGACGGCTTTCAGATTGGTGTAAGTCCGGTTTTGTGTGTGTGCGCGCGCGTGCGTGTGTGGGTGTCTGCGCGTGTGCATGTGCGTGCGTGCGTGTGTGTAAATGCTTCTTCATTGATATACCCGTGCGTGTGCATGCGCGTGCGTGCGTGTGTGTGTAAATGCTTCTTCATTGATATACCATTTAATTTTTATTTCTGTTACCATTGCTATTGCCATTGCCATTGCATTGTTTTGGGCCACAGTTGTTCAGAAAAAAGCCAGCATCTGTTTTCGAGAATTGCCACCTGCAATATGTTAATTACCCACCTGTAGTATCAGGGCAGCTTGTTGGTGCAAGTCCTTTCGGACGGCCACTAACTTCACTTGGATCGGCGAGGGCTCAACCGGGGACTAGAGACTAAAAACAGCATTTGAGTGCCATACTGTGCTGATAAACTTCTGCTCATAACATGAATATTCTTAAAAATTACAGCTGTAGGAGAGACACCGTAGTTGCTTACAGGGGAGGGGTGCAAATTTTTTAGTAAGAAGGTGGAAGGACACCTAATTGCTTGTGACTTTGAAAATGATTGGTGAAAGTGATTTTCCTTGTGAGTAGAGCACACATGTGACCTAAGAATCACGGATTGAGTTAATTCATTCACTTGTAACCGATGTCTCTTGGCTTTTTATAGCATGTTGGTCATGTTAGTGAATGTTAGTGACGACTTACTTACAAGGTTCATCACATTGTGCTCTTCCTTTTCTGACAGCTATAGCTCTTCTGTAAATGAAACCAAACCATCTCTCATGCAAAAAAGGACGAAATTGTGCGATAAATTGGGACCATATGCGCCGTCTGACACATCTAGTTAATCTAGACCACTCTTAAATATCACACTAACTCTAGAACACTAACTCTAGAGGAAAATTGAAATTGACTTAAATGTTCTGAAAAAGTAACTCATTGTCTAGGACCTCTAGGTTTGAAACCCAAATCAGGCAGCCTGATTTTGTCAGGCACATAGGCGAGGGGCTGTTTCTACACGTTGGTGCATAGGGTGGACCGTGATTCCTTCCCTTTATCCAAACACAAAAGAAAAAAAAATTGTAAAATCACTTCTTGCTAGATTAGTTTTATTCTGCTATCACGTTGGGACATAAAGATTGTTCTGAACATTCTCAGGTTGATTTGGTTGGTGGATACTATGATGCTGGCGACAATGTCAAGTTCAACTTTCCAATGGCATTCTCAACAACAATGCTGGCATGGAGTGTATTAGATTTTGGCAATTTCATGGGTCCAGACCTGCCATATGCACTAGAAGCTATTAAGTGGGCAACCGATTACTTCCTTAAAGCCACAAGCATCCCTGGCTTTGTATTTGTTCAAGTTGGTGATCCTTATGGTGATCACAATTGCTGGGAGAGGCCTGAAGACATGGACACACCTAGAATCCCTTATGCAGCTAGTAAACAGTTTCCAGGCTCAGAGGTGTCAGCTGAGATAGCAGCTGCACTTGCAGCATCTTCCATGGTGTTTAGGCCTCGCAATCCTGCATATTCTGCCAGGCTTCTCAAAAGAGCTGCAATGGTAAACGAGATCGATTCGTATTTCATATGTACTTTGTTTTTAAACTATCGGCTAAACATACTTAATCACTAATAAAAAAAATGGATTAGGTGTTTCAATTTGCAGATGCTAACCGTGGTTCTTACAACGATACCCTGGGACCGTGGGTGTGCCCATTTTACTGCGATTTCAGTGGCTACGAGGTACTCATCAGAACATTCAGAACTTGTCAATATGAATTACAGTAAATCTCTGCTTCCGTTGCAAAATCATATTCTCAAATTAAGTATGATTATCAATGATGATGTCTTTACAGGATGAATTGATCTGGGGAGCAGCATGGCTATATAGGGCGACCAAAGCACCTAATTACTGGAGTTATGTTGTGCAAAACATAAGCCATTTGGAAAAAAAAGTTGCCAAACATACTGATCGAGTCGGCTATGGCGGTGGTAGCTTCGCTGAATTCGGATGGGATACTAAGAATGCTGGTATTAACATACTTGTTTCAAAGGTGACTATCGAACTTGATTGCAGCATCTCTGTTCGTTGTTATAATATGTTTCTCTCTAAATTCTTCTTGTTGCTTTCTTTACAGTTGTTGCTTTCAAGCAAGACTTCTGATGTAGGTCCATTCATTCCCAATGCAGACAAGTTTGTTTGCACTGTGTTGCCCGAATCACCTACTGTCTCAGTCTCATACTCTCCAGGTAGCCTTAATTTGTTCATGAATTTCTTTAGCAATTCATACTTCAAAGGCATTTCGTTTCTGTGATGGAACAGTAAACAATTCAAATCGGTTCCAAAATTCTTTTCAGGTGGACTTCTGTTCAAACCAGGAGGAAGTAACTTGCAACATGCCACAGCTTTATCCTTTCTTCTTCTTGCTTATGCTCGTTATTTGAATCAATCCAATAGAGAAATTCATTGCGGTAATGTTGTTGCCACTCCTGCTAGACTTATTCAATTCGCAAGAGGGCAGGTAGGCCTACATCCTTTCTCCATCCTTGGTTAAGTCATCAATCTTGTCACCGGTCTTGTACATTAGCTAAGGAAATGTTACAAAATGGTAATCTACGCAGGTGGATTACATACTGGGAACTAATCCATTGAAGATGTCATACATGGTTGGATATGGCAGCAAATTCCCTCGGAAGATACACCACCGCGGCTCGTCTCTGCCTTCTGTTGATCAACACCCTGCCAGGATCAATTGTCAAGGTGGAACTCCATACTTCCAAAGCAATGATCCTAATCCTAACTTGCTAATAGGAGCTGTTGTTGGTGGACCTGATCAAGGGGATTCCTACTCTGATTCTAGAGCAGATTTTGTACACACAGAGCCAACCACATATATTAATGCACCTCTTGTTGGCCTCTTGGCTTACTTCAGATCACATCCGCCCTTGTAGAATCCCCCCCCCCCCCCCCCCCCCCACCTCCCACT